AGGCCCAAAGTGCAGCCTGGGCCAGGGACTGACTGCTTTGCAAGCTTGCATTTCCTGGTTCTCTCCTTCCGCCCTGGCGCAGTTTCAGAATTCTCTTCCCATCTGTATAATTAATTATCCTTCCATTAAGCTTTAGTACTCCTTGATAGCAAACTTCCCTCTGTAAGTTACTGTCTGGTTTCTGTCTGCTGAGGGGCCCCAGAGGGATACAGATGGCCCCGGGATGCCACTTCTCCTCCCCTGTCCAAGCCCATCCCCCCAGCCACCTTCCGGCCCCTTCACCCAGTTCAGCAGCTTCTCCATTAATCTTGGCCTCACCTCGGACATCACCACCGAAATCCTGAATTCTCAGCTTCAGAATTATCCAACAAAGAGGTTATTCTAAGTCTCTTGCAAGATGGTTTTCAAGACCTGATCAAATCTCAGTCCCCTACCCTACAAAATCTTTAAACAAAACCAAAGAGAAGCCTGCAGAGATGTTCATTCCTCATTATTTGTAACAGAGAAAAATGATACCATAAATGTCCCACTGAGTCAAATGCACTTGTTTGAAGTGTTCTGCTTCTAACCTGGTCATTTTGGGGCACATTAAGAGGAAGTCTGGTAAACACATATCTTTAAACCTTAACATTTTTTTCCAGTTCCTCCTTATGACCATCCCTCCCCCTTAGACTCCAATCCCAATGCCATTCACCTCCGACGCCCCCGCTTCTGGCCTCAGCTCCACCGCGCACTCTGGGCCCCAGACCTGTGCGCTGTGGTTCTCGTCCTCATGCTGCTTCCTCCCTCTTGAGGCCGCTCTCCCGAGGGTGGATTCTCCCCCACACCTTCAGAGGCGCCTGGGTCCTCTCCCCCCGGGGCCTGGAGGCGGCAGCGGTGCCCTTTTGCCTCTGTACTGCTTCCAGGTCATTCTCGATCCCTCATCTCCAGACACTGTCTGCTCCAAATCGCCCTCTGACCACACACCTGTCCCTCCTCCCTGCAGTCACATCCCCGCCCTGGGCCCTTCCCCTGGGCCCCTGGGGTTTGCGTGCCTGGCTCACTGCTCTGCAGGTTACTGAGTCATAACAGGCTGTCACTGTCCACAGTGATTCGTCCCTCGAGCCCCTCGTCATCACCCCGTGGCCTTTCTACAGACCTCGGCACTGTTGGGACTGGCCACACACTCCTCACGACCCTGACCGCAAACAGCCCCTAGCCCTGGCCCCTGCTTTCCAGCCCTCTCCCTCTCCACCATCAGCTCCACCGGAACCCCGGGAACCCCCAGAACCAGCCGGCCTTCCGCTCCCTCTATGCCCTTGCCCTCCCCTCCTCAGCCAGTCGGCACCGTGCTGTCCAGTCACTCTACCCACCCTTTCTGATCTGTCGTCCTTGCTCAGCTGAACCACAACGCAGACCCAGTCCAACGGAAACTCAACCCTTCTGCTCAGTATCACTTCATGTTGCACGGTCACCAACGTTGTGACGCCAGGACCTCCCGGGAACCAGGGAACCACATCTCGGGCCCAGCCCGCTTACTCTCACTGCCCCAGACGGCGCTCACCTTCCCACGGCCTTCTCCCACCGCCTCTCAGCTGGTGGCTCACAATTCCCCCGGGGAAATGGGAGCGACGGATAGAAGAGAGCTTCCCCACTTGCACCCCCCAGAACTGGGCCCTCTCGTGGGAAGACCGGCCCCTTCTCAGGTCCTCGGAAGGCCCATCTCTCACCAGCACCGCCAGCCTCCCCCTTCCTTTCATTTCAAACTCTCTGATGACATGTCTCCTTCTCCCTATGGCCTATTTCTTGGCCCCCCTTTCAAGAAAGCTCTTCAAAAAGTTTTCTGTGTGTCTGTCTCCAATTAGCCTTCTCCCATTCTCTGTTGTCCTCATTTAAAAAATTCAATCTTCAGAAAAGCTGAAAGAGTAATTCAATGAGCACCTCTCTAAAGCCCCAGAATTTATCACTTAGTGGCTGAAATCTCTTCCCCAAACACTAAGGCTGTATTTCGAGCAGTTCTCTGTGATCTGCAGACCCCTGGGGGCCCCAGGACCATTTCAGGGCACCCCAGGAAGACACAGCTGTATTACCAAGACGTGATGTGCCTTCTTCCTCGTATGGTTCACAAGCCACAGCCAGACAGCTTAACGGCCAAAGCCTTGGCAACCATCGTCCTGGTTATAATACATTCCTCACTGCTGCGCACTCAGTTAAAAAAAAGTCAATTTCACTGGAGAACGTCCTTGATGCAGTAAAAATAATTACTTCTATTAAATCTCAAGCAGAGTGCGTACTTTGTGTGATGAAATGGAAAGTGCGCATGAATGGTTTCTGTTGCATACCCAAGTACAATGGTTGTCTCCAGGAAAAGCACTTGTGTGGCTTGTTTGTTACAACGTAACTAGTTGCTTTTTTTCTGGAAACATTTTTATTTGAAAGAATGATTGACAAACTACGGTCGTTAGGACTTCATTGTTTAGCAGACATGATTTTTAAAAGTTAACCAAGTGAACCTGTCACTTCATGGAAAACAAGTGACGGTATTTGTGGCCAATGATAAAATTTGAGCTTTCAAACAAAAATCAGAATGTTGCAAAACTTGGATTGCACTTGACAGCTTCGACTTTTATGAGATCGTTAGTGATACGTGAATTTTTTAGTATTAAATAATGAAATGTTTCAACATTTGTAAGGTCTGCAGAACTAGTTAAAGGATATTTTCCAAATATTTAAAGCATGATGTTATAAAATCACACATGGGTCAGAGGTCCATTCAAAGTGCACAATAAACAGATTTAACGCAACTGAGTACAAGAAAATTCATTGATATTAGTTTCTGATTCGTATTGCAACTAACCTTTAAGAAACTGCCCCTGGAGAGTGTTGGTATTGTATCAAATACCCCAAATTAATGCAAAGGACATTAACATATCCCTCTTTTCTCAATTACGTATCTGTATGAGGCCAGATTTTCTTCAGTACTTCAACCAAAACATTTATGCAGGCCTTCTTTCTCTCAGCAATGTTTTAGTTTTCAACATAGTGGACTTGAACACCTTTTAAGATGTATTCCTACATATTTCATGGTTTGGATGTTACTGTAAATAGGCTTATTTTTTATTTCACTTTCCAATTGCTTGCCACTAGTATTTAAGAATATAAGCAATTAAAAGAGTCTTCAGACCAAAAGAGTTAAGAGCCAGTGAGCTACTGGAACAGTTCAGCATGAACTTAACTTTGTGAGTTAAGCATAGCAAAATTTAAGTTTATTCTTGGTCAATGTTAAAATGATGTCCAGACTTTTTTAAAGGATTAGAAAATTCTTTTTTTCTTCAAGTCCTAATTAAAACAACTTTCCCTCAAATATACACAAAATAGACAGAATAATGAAACTTCGAGTTCCAGCATCAACATCAGCTCACATCCGATCTTGCCTGAGCTTTATCTCCATTCACTTTCCCCTCCTGTATTATTTTGAAGCAAATTTCAGGCAAGACAGAATTCCATCATGAGAATTTCCTTATGTATCTCTGCATAGGAACTTACTGTACTGGTGTCCATGACAAACTGTGTATCAATCACCCACTGAAGTGTGGATGTGGCCCAACTGTAGATTCTATACAATATTTTTACCCCCAAGAAGCAGTCATACGCTGTTCAATTCCCAAGACTAACCAAATGTTCTGATCTTCAGCATATTTTAAGAGATTCACTTAATGTTTTTCAGCAAATATTAACTATGAAGTCTCTGAAATACTTTAAAAAAACAGTCCAGGGGCCGGCCCCACGGCCGAGTGGTTCAAGTTTTGTGCGCTCTGCTTTGGAGGCCTGGGTTTGCAGGTTCGGATCCCAGGTGTGGACATACTCCACTCATCAGCCATGCTGTGGAGGCATCCCACATACAAAATGGAGGAAGATGGGCACAGATGTCAGCTCAGGGCTAATTTTCCTCAAGCCAAAAATAAAAAAAGAGAATGACTGCCAACAGATGTTAGCTTAGGGCGAATATCCTCACCAAAAAATAAAAAAAACCCAAGCAAGGAATGGCATTAGGTTTCATCTCTCTTGCAAACTCAGAGAAATGTGGGTGGTTTCTCAGATCAGTCTGTTAAAAATGTTTCTGAGGCCATCTGGGTTCCGCGCTTGATTACTGATGCCTCCTGTGGGCACGGCATGATTCTTTCCTTTTCATCATCGAGCCATTTCTTGTTTATTTTATTTTATTTTATTTTTTTGTGAGGAAGATCAGCCCTGAGCTAACATCTGTGCCAATCCTCTTTTTGCTGAGGAAGACCGGCCCTGAGCTAACATCTATTGCCAATCGTCCTCCTTTTTCTCCCCAAAGCCCCAGTAGATAGTTGTATGTTATAGCTGCACATCCTTCTAGCTGCTGTATGTGGGACCCAGCCTCAACATGGTTGGACCAAGTGGTGCGCTGGTGCGCACCCGGGATCCAAACCCAGGCCGCCAGTAGCGGAGCACATGCACTTAATCGCTAAGCCATGGGGCCGGCCCCCATACAGCCATTTTTTGACAATTCCAAAGCCAAATGCTCCCTCCTCATTTTGGTCTATTAAGATTTACAATAATATGCATAAAGTAACGAATGTAAGGAATAACATACGTAGGCATGCCAGAATGGCTATTTTGTCACGATTTACTAATTCATTCCTTTAAAAGGCTCACATTCATTAATATTTGCTGGCTCAAAGAATTTCAGTAAATTTTGGTTGTTGTATATGAAAATAAACATGCAGGGATAACACTGTTAGCTGACAGCATTTATAGAACCCCCTCCACCAAGAAAGATCCAGCAAGATAAATGTGTCCATAAAACTAGAGAATATGAACACATCAAAAGTGGTGAGAAAGACTACATGGGGGCAATCAGAAGAACAGAGTAAAATCTTACAAGCAAAATAAAAGGCAATACTAAACTTCCACCTCCTTTCCCGCTCCTTCCGAGGATGCCACCCGCCCCCTCACACCCCGGAAAGAAACCACACCCCAGGAACAAATCAAGTGTGAGAGTTTTTTATTCAATTCGCAAAAAACAGTTTAAAAACAAAATGTTAGTAACACTCTCAGAGCATTGGTTTGTTCATTTGACGTTTTCTTTATCTTCACCAATTTTTATTACAAAAATCAGAAAAGTAAAAACTCATTACAATATTTGCACAGTGTAACCACTAGTTGCCTAAACAAAAGCTAATTTCTACAAAACCATAAACTTAATGCAGTTTTCTTAAGAGATTCAGAATTCTCTCAGTTAACTGGATATACATAGTGGTATATATTTTAAAGCAGAAAACCCCAAAAACCAAAAACAAGGAAAAAAGAGAATATAAGTCAGAATAGTCAGTTAAATATTTTGACCTGACAGTTCCTACAAATAGTAACTTCCACTACATATAAAGGAAACCGTTATACGTGGTAAAAATTCTAGAGACAAAGCAGGAAATGTGGAATAAAAACACAATAAATCAGAAGTCAGCCCCGGCTGTGCATGTTTTCCATGAAATCCAGGGCAGGAAGCTATACCAGTGAAGGGAGACCTCTCTCCGTGTCTGCAAGTCAAACCCTCACCCACACGGCACACTGCCAAGTTTCACTGGAAAGACTCTGAAAAAGACAAGCGTTCTTTTCTTCATACAAATCACCGCAAGAAATCTTTCTAAGACTGAACCTTGCATAGGGAAATAGCTATCTTCTGTCAACAATTGTACAGGGAAGAGGAAAAGCGAGCTTTTCAAAACGATGCCCATGAGCAAAGAGTTAAACCACCAGGCACATCATTCACTGCCTCCAATTCATCTCGATCAGATCTAATTTGACAAAAGGAAAAACGGCAATTTTGGGGGACAGTATGTAAAAGGAAATATTGAGACCGGCAGCAGAAAAATTAAATTCCGAAAGTGCATCACGTGAGAGGCCCAATGTCCCACGGAAGAAACACCTGTGCACTAAATAAGCCCGAGCCGTGCACACACTAGGACTCACGAGGAACTCGTCAAATACAAGTTTACTTTTTCAGAAAGTTAAAGTATAAAAAAATAGAACAAGTCGTGGCATTCCTCCAAGTTGGTGCTACATTAGTATTCTGAGTTGGTTACTGAGAGGGATTAAGGCGTCCAGACAGAGGCCGGCCGCTCGTCTCTAAGAGCCGTGGTGCAGGTGCATGGCGCCGAGGACGGCACTGTTGTACCTCTCTTCCACCTTCACCGAACTGGAATGCTCTAGTACACTGTTCAGCTCAGGGATGCTCTCAGCAGTGTCCCCAAACCCGTGGTAATGTCCATAGTGCAGATTCTCCCCTACGTCCTCCACCCAGGAAGGTCTACTAGCTATGCAGCTACTGGGGCTCCCATTCAGGTGCAGAGAGCCACACATCTCAGGGTTAACACTCATGGCCTTGTCTGGCTCCTCAGTCCCATTAACACAGAGAGAACCCTGGCCACTTGCAAACGGCCGGCCCGGAACTAATCCATTGCTAATTCCATTAGATCCTGCTAAGCACTGGTCATTCCTGCTTTCCGTCCCATTGAGCTGTGCCGTGGAGGGGAAGTCCAAATGTCCATTGATGACACATCCGTTTGTCAAAGTATTCGATACGGAGCTACTGTTATTCATATCTGCATTAAGAAATACACCTGTCACCACAATTCAGAACAGAGGGGAGGAGAAACTACAAAATGCTTCACTGCTGCTACAATTTTAAAGGCTTTTATTTAGTTTCTTTTTTTTCATTTTTTCTTTTAAACAAACCAGTTCCTTTTCCAAAGTAAAAACTGTGCACAGGTAGATTTAAAATAAAACACAACAGCAGCACCTGCCTGGTAAGATAGGAAACATTTATGAATTTCAGTAGCACTGTGGAGCCAAATTTAAAAACTTAAGGTGACAGATATACTGCATGAAAAATACCAACAGTACTGAAAAGCCATCAAAGAACTGTTCTCGTTTTAAGACCACTTTCGGAGAGCAGTTTTTAAAATCACCCCTCAAAAAATCCATCAGAACTGAATGTAAGAATTCCCACAAAGGGTTAAAATAAAACACAAAACTTCTCCAGCTTTTAAGAAACGAAAGAAAAGCAGTCCAAGGGGGCAGCCCAGTGGCATAGTGGTTAAGTTCACACGCTCCACTTCGGCAGCCCGGGGTTCGCAGGTGAGGATCCCGGGAGCGGATCTACATACCGCATACCAAGCGGTGCTGTGGCGGCATCCCACATGTAAAGTGGAGGAAGATGGGCACGGATGTTAGCCCAGGGCCAGTCTTCCTCAGCAAAAAAAGGAAGAAAGAGAAGAAAAGCAGTCCCTGAAGCAGGTGAATTAACGAAGCTCCTCGGCCTAGGTGAGACTGTGTCACACGATGCTTCTTACACGCGTGCAACCTCAGTCAGGGAAGCACACACAGGAATATGAAAAGGAGCCATGTTTTTGTAGTAACACTCAAATCTACATAGTACCTCTGCAAAATGCCACACACAGCTCTGGCAGAGCGCAGAGAGAGTGGCGACTACAGGAAAGAACTATGGATAATGATTCACATGCACACAGTCTTGGGCCAAAAGCAGTTCTGAAGAGTTTCTTCTGAGTTCAGCAACTAAAGTGACTATGATCTCCAAGGTTCTACTTCAGTAGGCTACTTTCAAACACCACCAACGCTGGAAAAATGCTGAGTTTAATCTGCATATACAGACATCCAGTAAGAGGAGGATGTCTTACAGAAAAAAAGATCAATCACAGAATATTTGGGCACAAGGGAATAGGCAAATTACACAATTTTTCTGTATAACGAAACTTGAGAATTAATATTCATGTTCATAGAATTCACAGAACAGTATAGAGAATGATCTAAAATTATGTCTTGCTTGATAATATGAGATTTTTACCCCAACGTTGTGCACTATTAAAGCAAGGTATGATGCTCGATACAGAAGAGCTGAGTTCTAGAACCCTGAGAATGAGGTGCAACTCTCCCCATGAAGGGCCGACTTTCCCTCTCCCATCTACAGGTCTGATTTGCACCTGGACAGAGGTTTCTTTGTGTCCTGCAAACCTTCTTGCCAACAATCACGGCTTGTTCAGTGAACAAAAACATCTTCTAAACATTCCATTAATCATCAGTTTTCTGGCAATTTAAGTGACATAGTTTAATAACTGCTATAAATTCTTCAGAGGATTATGGACTTTTTTTTTTAAATTAAATGACAGCTTTTCTATTTAGTTAAAACTCAGAGCTAGAAAACAAGTGTTTCAAGAACTAAACATGAAGTAAAACAAAAAGAAATAAAACCAGTTGTTGCCAGGGAAATAAATTTTTTTTTCAAAAATAAAGTATAAACAACTTTTCCTGAGTGATAAAAGTCATGATTATGACGGCAACCTTGATAGTTATTAAGACAACTGGTACACTACTAACAAGGATGGAAGTTATACTTTCAGGGGACTGGGCCTGCAAAAGTAAACAAACACTGCCCAGACATCCAAGCTAACTAGACTCTTTTCCGTTTAATGCTCACTGTGTGTGTGTACTTTTTGTCTTTAGTGCCCAGTTAAATTAGTTCCATTATGCAATCGCAAAATCAAGGCTAGGTGATAACCTCATATCATTATGGAAAATCTAATACAACTGAGCATGAGAGCAGCAGACGTCCTAGAGACCAGCTAAGACACACCCTGCCCTGTGGGGACATGCGTCCCCAGGCCATCTCCTCTGTCTCCAGTACTGTCCTCTAGTCTGGTCAAGCTGCTTCAGGACTCAGGCTGCCCTCTCACCACTTGCCCATCGGCTGCAAGTCATCTCTAGCGACTTCACACATTCTGTTTATTCAGTCAGGTGGTGCTCTAACGAAATGATGGGAGTATGGGGAAGGTTACCTGGCACCTGTTACATGGCATGAGCTGGGTTTCAAATAAAGCATGGCCTTTTCAATGTTATGTTCAAGCTTGGTATGAAATTTAACCTGAAAACCCAGGGAATTAATGTTTGAAGATTAAAGAGTGATTATACTCCTGCCTTTTAAAAAGCACATAACAATGCCATTTTTTTAAAAAGCTTGCTTTGAGTTTTGTTATTTATCTTTAGCCAAGGTCTTTAAATTTATTAACCCCTCAGAATTTCCCTTGGAAAATCTACCCATTTCATTTAATTATTTGGCAAAAAGCTGACTACATCCATAACAATTCCGTAGCTTCTAGAAAGATGTACACATTTTCTTTTCACTTCAGTGAACAGAAATAATTTTTTTCATGTATGTCTGGGAAACAAAATACATAATCTTTTATCCCCAGTGAAGAATTTAGCATAAAGACGTAATAAACTTTTTAAAAACCAGTATCTATTTCCAAATATATTAACATGTTAAGAGAATGGCTAAAATGTTTTCACGGTCACCTAAATAGAACAGTAGAAAAAAATTAAATGGATAAATCTTTACTCTAAATGCTAAAAGAAACTGAGCCTTTATCTTTTAAAAACTGAAAATGACTATACACTGTTTTAATCTACTAAAAATTTTAGCATATAAAACGTCTTCTGTGAGACACAGTTCAGCATTTTACTAGATTTAGAGTGAATGCCACAGAAACCAAAGCAACCAGAGTGCCGAGTAAAAGATTCCACATTTACTGGTTACAAGTCAAAATCACATTTACTAGTTCTCAGTGTTTACAGCGAGTCATCCTTCTTGCTTTTATTGCTTTGAAATTACTAGCAACAGATGTTCGTTTGGTATATTTGCCTAAAGGTCCTATGCCAGAAAATGAAAAATGCGAAACCTCATTAAAGTTAAACAAGGCACATTGAGCAAAAGCTTGAAATCAAAATAGGAAGATTGCACCTGTAGTTTTCATACCCATATAATGCACCAAAACCACTTATCCTTGATTCTACAGACTTGCCCAAGATATGCAAATTATAGCGTATAACATTCTTTAAAAGGCTGGATAACAAAGTGCAAAAATCGTTCGAGAGAAATTTGTTAGAAATAATATGCATACTGATTCTTGCAACGACAAGGGGTCTGCATTGCTGAAACAGTATATATTTCTATTTCTCTTGGTCCAACAGAACCACCCTCAGGCAGTTTGGTGTCTTCGACCATTGGACTGCTGTTGCAGCTAACGGGAAACTGTCCACTCCCACCTGTTACAACAGCAAACTCTCTATCGACGTGCATTTTGTCAGCATCGTCTTCCGTCTCGCCGTTCACTAGTGGCATGGAGTCATCCGAGCTTTGAGCTGCACAGAAAACAAAGGCACTTTCAGATTCCCTGTATACACAAGATGACTTTAGGACAAATGTTTCTCATTCCTTTTTGTTAGAGCACTGAATGCTCCAACACTGCCAAATAATCATCTACAGATTACTAATGAACTTGGTACTCTACCAAGAAACTTACTTTTCCACAATAAAAAATATTTCCTGAAGAATGCAGTTTCAATTACAAGTCATGAAATTTCAGATACCTATTTGAGATTTACTTGAAGAATTCTAATCTAAGGCTGTTATTCGGACAACATAAAGCAGTTACACAACTCAGAGACATTTCTAAAAATTTTTTAAAATTCAGCATTCTATTATGCCCAAAATGTTCCTTCAGTTGTTTTTCATAAACAAATACTAAGACAATTCTTGAATAACAACATAAAAACCATTAAAACAATCCTCAAATTAAAGAAAAAAATCACTAACTTTAGTATAAAGAAATAACATAAAAGCCAAGACTCAAGACAGGTCTGTCAGTGCTGTCCCTGTGCCACAGGACACAGTACAGCTGGAGGCAGACAGTAAGTCTCAGTCCCAAGATATCTGGAGCTGAAGCGATATATATGCACATTTCCTACAAAATTATCATTCTCCTTATCTTAGAGAAAAGCTAAGGTGCACATTTAATCACTTTTCCTCCAAGAACTGTATACTCTGTGCAGAAACATCTCTCCCAGCAAACCCCAGTAATCCTTACTTCTCAAGAGCAGCCACTCTCATGTGATGTATGGCTTTCTAGTTTTAATAAACATATATTTTTATAAAAACAGATCCCAAAATCACTTTTACGCCTTGCTTTCATTAATCTACCATGCATGGTATGAATGCACCCCATCAACTAAGTTCAAAAGAATCTTTCAAGTTGAATACCAATCACTATACCGCTGTATTACAATTCACCCACCACCAAATTCCCCACTACTGGTCCAGTCACTTCAGTTTTCTTCCTTATCATGAATACCATAACTAACACCCTTACAAACGCACGTGTGTGTGCATTTCTGGTTCTTTACTCTTCAATACCTGGGATTATTTCTGGGTCAAAGAAGATATACAACAAATAAGTAACAACTTTCAGTGCTTTCTTTCAATGTTCTTTCGCATAAACATTTAAAAAGAGAAACGAACTCTGCAGCTTTAATTACCTCTAATTTTAGATGCATAAGTCATTTTCAACGTAGGAATGAACATACCATATTCTCCAAACTGTTGAAACCAAACATGATAACATACAGTCTTCATGAGAATGATCAGTATGTGGAAGAAACAGAAACAGAACGGTGTGATTTGTGCAGTTAGGAGAAAACAGACGCCTGCACGGGGTAAGAGGCCAGAAGCCTTCTACAGACATGCTTTAAAACCAGAGGTGTTAAACTGTGGATGTGTCTCCTGCACTCAAAGCTTTTGTTAACCCTCCACAGGCCCCACATCAGTGACAGGCAAGGCTCCATCTTCACTATGGAACAAGGTACTTTAGGAAATCAGTGGTCAACAGGCCATTTTACAAAAAGGAGGGGGGACTGGGGAGGGCATTTGAGGTCAGTGGACAAAGTACTGGAAACCTGCAGGGCGTCCTGAGCTGGTCATTTCAGAGGTGAGGAACCTGCAATCAGCAGGGGGTCAGCTGCCCTCCTTCCACACTCCCCAGCGCCTGATAAGCCAAATTAGGTAGCTCACTGAGAACTGGTGCCAGCTATCGTGGCAAAACCACAAATGCCTTTGTAAACAAGAAAGACTTCTCTGGGTATACAACACAGACAGCTGTAAGTATCCACAATCTTAAGGTCAGGTTTTCTTTCGGAATTCAGACGCCAGTGTTCCTTGGGGAAAGTGGCAGTGAGGCTACATCCATCAATTCAGATCTCTGAAAACTAGGTTTTAAAAAAATAAAAAACTGACAGCACAAAGAGGACTCCCTCCACTCCCCCAACCAAAAGCTTCATAAAAGCAGGAATATTTCTATCTTCACTCCCTGAGCTCAGTGCCTAGAAAAGTGCCCACATGGATGAATGAAGCCCACTCTCTAGCCAGAAAAGGCACAAACACAGAAAGCAAGCAAAACTATTAGGAATAACTAAAGAGTAATCAAATCGGAAGTAATCAAATCGGAAGAATAACAATCATCTCAGGTAAGAGTGGCTATAAGGTGAAGTGGGACATGAGGGCAGACCTCCACTAGAGGGCCAGAAGAGCCCGTGGCAAAGGGAGTTTGGGGACATTCAAAACAAAAAGACGAGCTGAGGCAAAATGCCATTTCAGAGCAAAAATTCATCTCTTAGCTAGAGCCCTGTGCAGTGCACCAGGGACTCTACTCTGAAACTGTTTCGTTTAGCAGACACATGCCTTCCGTGAATGTAGTTTCTCATTAACAGAGCAGGATAAAAAAGAAACAGACCAAAGGCTCTCAAATTTTAGTAGTCAAGAAACTCTTTCACGTGGGAAGCAGACAGCCTAGAATTTAATTATCTTTCTCCGCAGATATGCAATCTTCGTAGCGCCTTGTTCCCATAAAGTATCTGCAAGGATATTTAACCACTTGGCTGATAACCTAGCTGCCCCAGAACCCTGGAATATATTTAATAATAATGCCTTCATTTTTAAATTCCTAGCACCTGTAAATAGGGAGTGCTCAGCTGGATGAGGGCATTAACGTTGCAATTACTTACTTTCTAAAACTGCATTTCATAAACCATGAAATTAAAATTGGTCTCTTAGAATTTTAAGGACACTGGATCTGGACTTGACTCCTTTCTCCCACACACACCTATCGCCATTGCCAAAGAGACTATGTAAGTATTCTATGTTGCATCAGAAATGCCTCTAGGCATTTCAGAAAAACAAAATGTCCAAAGTTACCAAATTTGATTCTATTTACGTTTTGGAAAAAAAGCACTTTTACTTCCGCAGCTAACAGGAACGATTACTGAACATTTTGTAAAGTGACCTTACCTTTTACTTTGACTCCCAAAGCAGGTACTTGTTTAAAAGATTCTAGTACACATTAGACAATGCTTATTTATGGTGGAAAACCACCTAGGCTTGGCTCAAAATAAAGCCTCCCAGCTTCCTTCCCCCAGAGGCAGAGTCACAACCAAGTGTGACCACTGCCCAAGCACCCCTCACTCTTGCCCCTGGGGCCAGGAAAGATGCTCCATTTGGGAAGGTGCCCAGAACAATGCAAAAACCTGCATTTGTATTTTCATCTAACCTCGGGAGTTGAATAAAACTCCTAAAGCCAGTTCTCAGTAACTATATAAACTGTTTATGATCAAGCAGCTTGAAAACGCCGAAAAGGCCTTAGCTTTTAAAAGCCAGGGGTCTGCTGCATTACAGAAACCATGCCATCAAGGAAGCTTCTTCTTGCGCTGTTAACTCTGGGAAGATGCACTTACGGTACAACAGGGATGTACTCACACTGACATGCGTAACGTGGACACAAAACCAAGATTTCCAATGCCAGGCACACTTACAAATATACCTAAGGCTTATGAAAAATGTCTAATCAGGCTTATTTTAACTTGAAAGGCAGAGAAATCTCCTAATAGGCAAAAACCAATCTATACAGTCCCACATTTAAGATGTAAGTGCTCCAGTTGGCTAACCGGACACCACTCCCTAGACCTGCCCCACACAGGACACACCATCTGACGTGCAAAAACTGCCAAGCAGTTTCACACGGTGGGTTTAAGCGAAGCTTGGGGTCACAAGACAAATGAGTGACCTACCCTCCTTTGCGCCTCTTGAAGGGAGATCCTAGGCGCTGACCCACTACACTGAAGGGGCAGTGGCTAGGAACCCCAGGACACGTTCCAATCCTGTGGTCTTCCCCCTGAACCGGAAACTCCGACCACTGGGGAAGCTGTTTCCCAGGAGAGGGACCAGGAATGTTTCCTGGTGGCTTCCCACCAGCCACTATTTAATAGAACTATTCCCTGTTCTACTATAGAGCACATTTTACCCAAACAACTGCCTTTTAAAAGGAAAGCTTTGTTAAAATCAGAAGAGCACCTACAGCCAAGCACAAAGGTGGTTCTACTACAAAGCGTGATTTCTCAGGACAATACTCCTGCCGCGGCCCCAAGTGCAGCACATAGGGCGTGGGAATTCTAGGGGGCAGGGCAGTGAAGATGCCAAGGCCACTTAGAAGCAGGGACAGTCCGGAACACTGAGGAGGGATTTGGGGTTTTGTTCAAGAACACAGGAAAGGTGCATGTGCATGTCAGAGAGGCTGTCCTGAAGGTGTGCCAGGACCTAGTCCTGGCTGATTTCCGCTGCAGCCACTACACTGTGCCGTGCAGCTGGCAATAAAGGTTTGCTGAATTCCAGTCTACAACAGTGGAAACCCCAGAAATTGCTCGGTTCTTAGATGTTATTCATTCAGATCACATTTATAAGATGCTATGTCTTTAGGGATTAAGACAAAACAATCATTTATTTGAACACAATTAGGAGTGTTCTCTCACTCTGGTCAAATTCAAAAAACAAATATAGCCATTCACTGCAAACTGCAGAACACTAAGGACACCATAAATTAGTCTTATATAATACGTATGGAACCAACCTAGAAGGAACTACATTAAAAATCTCACTCCTTGAATCTCATGTTCTATGTAATTAACTAACATGTATCATTTAATAAACTGGTTAAGTCATAGCCACCCTGCTTTCCCCTGTCTTTAAGCCTGGTCAACACCAACAATGAGAAACAGTAAGTGGAAATTCTTTATGTTAAATTCATCCTGGGAAGAGTGCTGAGAAACTTCTGTTAATTTTAAACTTAGTTATAATTTGTAGATATTTTTCCTAAATGTTTTTCTATTAAAATACCTGCATGTTATGTATGAGATGGTAAGATCACTAATATACCCGTCTGATTAAAACAAAACTATGAAATCAACTTAACATCTAAACTCTGGTATCACCAGAGCTGACTTCTTCTGGCAACTGTTTCCCAAAAATAAAATTCTAGGTTAGTGGGTCAGTTTGTAACCCACACTGCCTCTCCCCAGGCAGGACTCTGGAGCTGCACCCAGAACAACTAGTGATTGAAAACAAGAGGAAGACTCCTCTCATGGATGGCACTGGCATTCTTTTCTAACCAGGACCACTGATAATTAGGGCAACAGTTTTCAAGGAATATATATACGAATAATTGTATTGAGTGTTATTCCTGAAGATTAACCAGGAATGCTAACAAACCTCAACTGATTTTTACAGAGCAGCTGCAGTTGAAGTCCCGAAGTCCACCTTCATTCCATCTTGAGCAAATGCTTGATAAATGGGGGAAAAAAAACCCCGCAAAACCTAATTATATACTGATATTCCCTACACCAGCCTAAATGAACAGAATCCCATATTGGAGAAAATATTACCTCAAAATACTGTTCATCAAATTCAACCCTTCTACTGGATTTTATTGCACCCTCCAGAGTTCGTGGCCACTTCTACTGTCTGTGTTCTGACCGAAGAGCATCTGGATCCTGGCGTGAAGGACTCCATAAAGAACAAGTCTGCATTTTCCTACAACTTGCTTCCCAAGAACAGTTTACAGCTGAGCGGCAAGAAGAGCCAAGCTGTCACTACTCCTTTCAGTTCTTTTAGATCAGCACAGCTTCCAAAGAAACATCACTCCAATTACCTCAAAATATCTGAACACAGTTTATTGAAAGCAGTGAGAGATGCCACTTTCTATGGAGAGTAGGTAACTTTCAGACATGATTCCAAAGTTGAAAAAAAAAAGAGTGAATTTTACAGGGCACATCTGTGAGAGCTGGCTTAGCCAGGAAAATTTCTGGAAGTAATTGCTTTTATAAATACAAATCCCACACTAAAAACATCAATATGTGTAATTCTTAAATTCTAGGAAGACAGAATGGACTAAGTTTATTAATAAGGTCCAAGCTATGCATTTGTGTAGCCAAGATATTATTCCAGGCGCCTGTGAAAAAAACCCAAACTTGTACTGCATAAAAAAAGGAATTTTAAACTTTTCTAAATACTTTCACATGCAAAGTTATCCAAGTAAGTATTTTATATGCATATGTTACATGAGGGAAAAAAATACTTATTTTTATTCCGGCATGAGAACCAAAAACTTATTTACAAAATGAATAATTCAGAATGAGCAAACATAGATGCCAGAAATGAAATGACAATGACCGAAAGCAACATATCTTGAGTTGTACACTACAAAAACTGGTCAAAAAATGGAAATAACTATATACATAGCTTTTGAAGACAAGAACTTCATTTAGAAAATTCAGGTAGTGAGGGGAAAAATCTTGTTTTAGTAATTGAGAATTCTTGCCCCTTTATCCCAATTCACAGGGAGTGTATAACGGTTAAATGAAAAAAAAAAACAATCACCCCTTCCTTTCCCATAGAGAAAAGAGAGGATCGGCCAGGGTGGGGATGGGATGAAGGCACCTGTCTACACTTAGACAAATATAAACTTATACATACACACACTCTTTAGTGACATGTGGGACAGACAAATCTCAGCACCACACCACCTGAGGCCTGGAGTATCAAGTGCAGGGAGTAAATGATCACAGTAACATTCAGCAGACAAATGAGGACCTCCACAAGAGGAGCTGTGAAGTCAGGCACACAGGTGTCAAACCAGACCTCTCCTGTGACGGAATATCACCACTTCATGTGCATATGGAGCAGTACTCAACCTTAGGTTTACATTATTTTTTACCTGCAAACTTTAGACAAACGCCAGGCTCCAACCACATGTGCTTCTGAACTGGCATCCTTGGAATGGGCAGTTTGGGAAAGCTGCATGGTGAGCTTAATGTGCAAAATGTGCATCTCTAACCCTGGTCAACCAAAACAAATCCTTGTCTGGAGGAGGAAAATAAAATCCCCTGAACATCTGCATGATTCTTCAAACTAAATGTGTGTAGTAACAAGGTTTAAGACGCTTAAATTCAAGTTTCAGGAATCCTTGCAAAGGCTTCTCAAGATACTTTAAACAATGAGTTATTCGCCAATTCAACTGACCTCAAAACTTAAGAGACGAGTTTAAAAACTCTTTAGGCACATTTATGAGTCTTATTAGAATGTTAAGTGACATCATTTTAAAAAAACTAAACAGAATTTAAGATTTATCCTATAAACTGACGTACACGGACATGGATGCATATACAATCTTTGCATGAGGGCATAATGAAGCTAACACTTAATACCATTCCAAATTAACCAGGTATTAAATAAAATGAATATTTTTAAAAAGTGGATGCTTTTAAAGGGCTTTTAAAACACATTAGAAAAAATATATTAGAACATGGTACAAATAAATGACAATGCTGAGCAATACTTCACCATTAAAAAACATCACTTTTGAAGTTCAGACATACCTTCCTGTTGTAATTATTAGAGCATCTGTCTAGAAATTAGGCCCATAACATAAAATTTATGAATTTGATAATTTAAATTCATAATTCATTTCTACAAAAAAAAAAGTCATATAATCACAAGTTTTTATAGCGACCAAGATTTGAAAGTCGTAGATAATGTAATTTTATCAACTTTATAGGAAAAAACTGTTTTCATTTGGATACACTCCAATTAAGTTAAAGAGGCACAGTACTGGAAAGAGGATAATGCTGACCCATACCAAATTTAAAGTTAACTAAAACCTCTAGCCACTCAGGGTTTTTTCATACTATACTTAATAGTTGGTTTTTTTTTTTTTAAACCGAAAGGCACAACTCTATATTTATCCTCAGCAAATCTTATCTGAGTGCATAATCTCAGTGTGATTACTTTTCACTGTCTTTCTAAATTTCCCTTTTTGTAAAAGTTTGCTAAATATTCCTGCTAAGCTATTAATTTGTCTTCTGATTAATATATTTTATATATAGACATACACATATAATTTTTTTTCCTAGGTGAAAGGGAGGCTTTTTCAACTTGGAAGAACAACTAGCTGACTCTGCTTATTTGCAAACTCCAAAACTACCTAAAGATAAAAAAGGTGGAAGAATACTTAAAACTAGAATAACTTACCTTAGAGACTTAAGTCCTCAATGTCAAACTGACACATCAGATCTTGCTGTGACAAACACATATTACACTTGTGGGGTATGGAGGCCAGCTGAGGGCAAAGCACAGTGCAAGTGGAACAGAACAGCAAACATCTACCTTCCAGATGTGAAATTATGTTTTACTACCAGATCAACAATTGTTATAAGCTCAAGAACATGCACGAAACAAAAAAATCAGGCATGGTGGCAGATTTTTTTTAATAGATGTATTTTGAACAGGTACAACAAATGAGAAAAATCTTTTAGTCTAATTCATGGCAGATAAACCTGGGTGTGCAGAAAGTTATATACATGCATTTACATTTCAGCTTTCAACACTGCCCTCTTATATCCTCCCCTTTTGTTAAATGGCCAATCTTCAAAGTGGCAATACGGGAAAAACTCCACCATCACTGCACCAGAATCCTCCGGGCAAAGTACCTCCTTAAGTGAAGGGCTCATCTCGAAGGCACTTTCAGCCATAAGAAAGAAAATACATTAAAGAAAGGAAACAAGTCTGCTCCTTCCCACCCACAAAGTGTTCTCACCTTCGGTTCTAGCTTTCTTTCCTCCAAAGGGTTCCGAATCTTCCAAGCATCTCTTGCGATTTGTTCCCATACTAACATGATTAGGAAATATATTCTGATGGCCCCCATTTAAGGAGCCGTTATTATAAAAACGGTTCAGGTGACAATTCTGGAGGTTCAAGAGAAACTGGGTACATTCTTGGAAACCCTGGGTTTGAGCAATGTCTGCTGCTGTCAGGCCACTGGCATTTCTCAGGCTGTATGACACAAAAACACTGAATTACATCCCATTAGCATTTTCACCTGGTCTCTGCTTCTGCTGAACTGACTAACTATCTGAAGGTGATATGAAAGAGTATACAGATTTATAGCAAGTCTTCATTAAAGAAGGAGTTAATCCTAGCTCTGTAACTAACTTCTCTCTTATGCACATTTGATTACTAAGCAAGAATTGGGAGATAGTAATTTAAAAATCAATATACTAAACTTAAAAAAAAGCATCTTCCTATTTAACGTCTCAAAATCATTTTTTACATTAGTCTGAAGAACCTAAATTTATGCTAACTTCAGACTTAACCTAAAACTGAATTCTCTATTATCTGAACTTAATTTTAATAATCGATTCCTTTAGCTCGAGTAAAATCATAACAAACAAACATGTACTGAAATTGTCCATGGCATTCTTAACAATTGGCTTCCTAAAAGCAAAGGTAATTGGCTTACCAACAAGCCAGATTTTATGCTAACATGTGACACTATAAGTGGAAGTTTAGAATGATGTCCTGACATTAAAATAACTTATCGTCAGACTGGAGATACAAAAAGTTGAGTTTTGTTTTTTGGCCTTGCTTAGGAAAACTTAGAGGAGTGTTACATTTTAACATTCTAGAGCATTTGAGTGGACGTTTCCTGCGAAAAGCCTTCTAATACTGTCCTAGGAACTCATCCCCTAGGCTGAGAGTCCTACCATTGAAAAGAATCAACATCATCTAAAGTGACTAAGGAACAGTAACAAGTAAGGGTCTGATGTCTTCTATAGTAGCTAAGATTCAGATTAAAGGAGGAAATGGTGGCAGAACGTATAAGTCGAAGACCTGAGTAAGATGAATATAAATGAGCCAGGTGAACTTTTAAACCTTAACTAGGACAACAAAAATTTAGGGAACAAAAGCAACTCCATGTTGAAGTTCCCCTAAGACAAGAAAATACACTGCTCTGTGAAATAAATCTGTAAAAAAGCAAAACAGGTTGTTGGCTGCAGGCTGATAAACTGAAATTGGAGAAGTAGCAAACAGCAGAGACAGCTCTCATACCTACTCAGCAAGCTACGCTACAGACAGAAAAGGTGTGATCAGCTACAGGCCTTGTTTTGTGTCACTGAAACAACTGATGCAGAACCCCTGATGCTTGTTTCCTACATTAACGTTAAAACGTAAAAAAAAAAAACAAAACCAAGAACAAACCCAAAAACATCTCTGAGTAAAAACTACAGAATCAGGGACAAATAGAGTTTTTTCCAGAACAAGCCTTGCATTCACATTTCCAGCTGTCATACTCACAAAGCTCCAACCTCAGAAATAAAAAAATCTATGTATTTCTGGACAATCACTAAACATGCCTCCACTCTTCCAAGCATGAGATAAAAAAAATGTATCATACATCTCTAAGGAAGGTGAAAGCCCAACTCGATTTGATCAAATATAAAAGACACAGGACTTGAGAATCCCAGAAACCAACAATATTTCCTTAAAAATATAAGACAGTTGTGTGCAGGACTTCTGGGGACTAAAACTGATATTTTTATTTGACTTTATGGCTGTGAATTCTGAATATTATTCTGGAGTTTCATAATATTTTTATTTTGATGTATGAATTAAATGGAAAGGAAACACCAAAGTTTGGGCAGAGTGAATTACATTAACTACGTGTATACAACGATCATATACTTGATCTTTAATATCAACATGATATTGAAATATAACATTCAAGTAAGGGTATAGCTGGATGATTTTTTTAAATGATGTATTTCATTTTCAGAAGATATCACAACTGAAGATGGTCCAAAAAAGTCTACTCTATCAAGAATGTGAACACAAAAATAAGTTGCCATGTGAAAATTAAAAATAAAATGTAACTCTTCAAAATTTGAAAAGGTGAAGACCTAGAACATAAGCAAAGTTTATAGAACCATTATTTGTATACATAAATATGGACTTGCTCTCCAAAATCAAATACGGAAATGAGAAGCTGCTGCTTAAAATTAGGACAAATAAAGTTGACAGTAGAGATAACTCCTTAGTGGATCAGAGAATAAAAAAGAACAGCACATGGATTTGTTAAATGGCATTTACCACTATAAATGCCAGTTCACCGAGGAAAACTGAGATGCTTAAGGAGCATGCCAACATTCTAAAGTCACTGAAAAGAACAACATCCAAAAATACACTCAATTCTTTTACTCTTCATTCAGAAACTGAACAGTAGACTGAACATGGGTTGAATAGCAAGTTTACTGTTCTTCCAAGGAAATACAACCTTAAAGAAAACTAAGCAACAAATTAGTGGCAATATTGAGAGACCATGGGGACTGTAAATGTTTGCGTCCCGTATCTGCCTACATGTAAAATAAGGTCTCCCTGCCCTGCCTCCTCCCCACCAAAAGCAGTCCAACACTTGCACTATCACTTGACTTAGACAGAGACAACCAAATTTCCAGGTGGTGTGAGGTATCTTTAACACTCAAAAGGACTAGAGCCAACTCATGCTATGTACTCCCCATGTATGGACCAAGCAAGCAAGAGAGAACAATCACAAGTCAAACAATTTCTACTGGTTCTTCACACCACCCTGGGGGAACAGAAGTCAGAGTGATCCAAAACAGAGATCAAAACATTCCGGAAAACAGATGGACAAATCTCAGAATCTGGGACATATGGTGACTGCGGAAGAATTAATTGGGAGATGATAATTTTGGCACTATCCTTATAGTGTTATCAGAAATGAGGACATAGTGTATCCTTTCTCTGCTTCTAGTGAGCTATAGGAGATTTCAACTATATTATTTCTCATGTTACTAAGACTGAACATATACAACATACAGTTTAATTTAATAGTGTTTCTATTCCTCTAAAGCAAAAGGAGCTGTTCATACCTGACTGGTATATGGCAACAAAACCAACCAACCCCTCTCTTGCCTCCAAAGGTTCTACTCTGCATCTCCTCTCCTACTTACCTGCATTCATTCCTCCATTCTCTACCCCTGTAAAATGTTTAACTCCCTAATTCTGCTCTGCTCACATTTAAAACCTTGCAAGTGGCTGCTCAATCATATAGTGCATGTTACAGAAATTGGCTGGAAAGGAAAGTTAGGGATCATCTAATCCAGGGGTAAGTACTTTTTCTGTCAAGGGCTAGATAGATAGTAAGTATTTGGGGCTTTACAGGCGACAGTCTCATTCACAACTACTCCACTCTTTAGTTGTAGCCTAAAAGCAGCCGTACACAATATGTACACAATCAAGTGTGGCTATGTTCTAATAAACTTTTATTTATAGACATGGGAATACGAATTTCATACAATTTCACCTCACGAAATATTGTTCTTCGGACTTTTGTTCAACCACTTACAAATGTAAAAATCATTCTTGGTATATGGCCCACACAAAAACAAGCAGTGGGCTGGATCTGTTGAGCAACATTTAACCAACAGATCATACTGGTAACTGGTCTTCTACTCTTCATAACAGATGTCTACAGGTTCCTGAAAAACGTCTTTCTAGTAATTTTATGCACTATTCAATTCCAACAAAAATAACTTTTAAAAAAAGCTGCTAAATCCATGAAATCACAAAATGTTAAACACCAAGAAAAATATCTAAAGGAAAACTTTAGAAGAATGTCAAATAAAAGACCCTGAGAGAGCATGCAGAACTAATACAATCACTCCTATTCCATCTGAGTGTTTTCTGTAAAAAGTTCTAATGTCTTACAATTGAATTAGGGAATGTGTTTAATATGAATAAGGTGAAAACTATCTTTACAGATCCGAATTCCTCAAACCACTTTTTAATATTTAATAATAGAGAGGACTTTCAAACGTACCATAGAGGATGAAAATCATGTGGGTTTCCAAGTAAAGACTAAATAATCATTGGATGGTACAGTTTTCAAAACATTTTAATTTTTAACAAAAGAGGCTCAGGTCTTTAAATTCTTTTTTTATATATGCTTTCCTATTTGTTAAGCATGTTTCAATTTTAATGTTTTAGGAGTTCAAACAGTAAACCTGGCTAAAATGTATCAACAACTTATTAAATCTTCACACTCTATTTAGTGTTCCAAGTTTACGCAGATATTAAACCTAAGCTACTCTCTGTTATTTTCCTAAGACTCAGTGGGAGCTGGGCACATGAATGTGACTTAGGATTTACAGGTTCCATGACAATTTCCCACTGGAATGTGGCACTTTGGTCTGTCACGGTACTCTTCAAGCAGTCAAGCCCTCGCCCTTCGGTCCACAGGTATTCACTGCTGCAGGACATGGTCACACTGCACTAACTGCGGGCCACTGGCATCAGCCTCAAGGGAGGTGCCGGGAAAGACAAAGTGGATCTGAACTGCAGCCTTTACACACACGAGTCCACGGGGAAATTTACAGTACCTGGAAAAAATTGCTCAAAATTACTCTCAAAAACTATATTTTGCATAAAAATTGGGGTAGCAATTAAAGGGTACACATTATTTTTAGACTAAATCTTTAAAAAACATACACTTTTGAATTTAGCGACTTCAGTTTGACACATGTGGGCAAACAGACTATGCCTGATCTAAAACTTACTTTGTCCGTTTCTGAAAACAAGAGAGGTCCCAAGCCAGACAGTGCTGTCGCTCTGAGGTCGTTTTAAAGCTTAGTTCACCTTCTCTGCTCTTCTCTAATCAAACTTGAAAAATCTTTGAAAATGGGCAGAGATGTTTAAAAATTAGACACCAATCAACTTAATGTTCAAATCAGGTCTAGTCTGATGAAGTTTTAAAATTGATTTTCTTTTAACAGCAAGCTGACATGATCAGATTTTTAGGCTGGTAAGATCAATTTGCTACAATTTATTACGGAAGCTACAGTGACCGTGCCTGTATCTGTAGTCTAGATCCTGTCACATTCACCAGGACTAGGAAAAGACATCTTTGGGCAGGCCACTCATTTTCTCCTAGTAGTTCCTAGTATTCTTTCAAAATTGGACTATGAAAACATGGGAAG